TATATATACTTTTTTAAAAATTCTCATTTTATAGCTTATCCTCATTTCTCTTTGGCTCTGTTTGGTTCTACGCCTGTCAAGAATAGCCTGTGATAGTTACCTGAAGGAATGATTATGCTTTTCTCTTGCATATAATGGGTGTTTCATTTTGACTCAGGCTTTGGATTTTTTAAAACTAACGAAAACATATATATAGCCAAATATAAAGCCCTTGGTTGAATATTCTAGTAGAGTTTCAGGGAAAATGTAATGTTTTTAATAGTGAGAGTGGAGATTAAAATCTCTCTGACAGACTGTAAAAGTTCCAAGCATTCATACAATCTATCAGATGCCAAAACAGGATCTGCCCTCCAAGGCCAAATAATAGCTTGAGATGGAAATACTTTTATTAAAACCATAGACAATGAAGTGGCTATCAGTGGTGGAGAAGAGACATGGTGTTGCTCCACACTAAAAGGAAAAGAGATTTCCGTGAGCTGATCAGTAAGTAGTTAACTTATTTTTTACAATTTAAAATTCAAATTGTCTATGGTATAGTGTCATTATATACAATAATCCATCTAATAGTGAAATAGGGCAGTATTGCAAATCAAATTCTGATTTTCACATCATGTAACAAACCTTCTCCAATTGTAAATATATGCAAGATTCATTTGCTTTGTTTTGTCAATGTTCAGGTCTATTTATCATCAGCAAGGGTATTTTATAGGTTTGGGAATCTGTGGTGCACTCAGAAAGCTTACTAGCCAATCCGTGCTTCTTTGAATGCCACAAAAGGTTATATTTCAAATTATTTTGAGCATGAAACTACCCATCTTAAGGGCAAAAATGTATGAGATGACTGTACTGAACATTTTTGTTTTTGGAGCTTGAGTATTTGAGTATTTCAAATTTGGAATAGTTCTTACTCGTTCAAATATTTCTTAAAATATCAAAACAAACCACTTTCTCCAAAACTTTATTGTTTACAATTTCAGGCTGACTTCAGAGAATTACCAGTCCAGCAAACTCTTGGTAGCCAGTAAATGAGAATTTGACTCTATGTTCATGACTTCCTTCCTCCTCTTCCTCAACATGGACAATAATAAATTGTAGTATTACCTTTGCTTCTATGGTTACCATAATGGAAACATTTTCATCTTCAAGAGTTCTAAAAACCTTTGTGCTAGCTTTTGGGCTTTATCGTGCCAACAGGCTTCTAAGATGAGTGCTTGGAGTTAGGAGCTGGGGAAATCAAACTTCCCTTCCACTGACAGCACAGACCATTCCCTTAGTAATACTGATAGCAATGACACTTAGACTTATATACCACTTCCCAGTGCTTTACAGCCCTCTCTAAGCGGTTTAAAATACAGCCTATTGCTTCCGAAAATCTGGGTCCTCATTTTACCGACTTTGGAAGGATGGAAGGCTGAGTCAACCTTGAGTCGGTGAGGATCAAACTGCTGGCAGTTGGCAGAATTAGCCTGCAATATTGCATTCTAAACACTGTGCCACAGCTCCTTAGTAACAAGGCAATCATATATTGTTCTTTCAGTAACAAGTATTTGCTGTCCAGAAACAAAATTTATTGAACCTGTAGGATGGATGGTCCCACTATCAAACGGTTCCCCAGTTGGCTGAACAATCATAGCCAATGCATAGTCCTAAATGAGTCTTTGTCCACATTGAAGAGATAATCAGTGGGGTGACTGAAGATTCTGACATGGACCCAGTATTCTTCAACAACTTCCTAAATTATTTAGATGAGGGGGTACAAGGGAATCTTACACTGTAAAATGTGTGGATGACACAAAGTCTGAGATATTGCTACATCTCAAAAGACAGGTTCTAGTTCAAAGGGATTTTGATAGACTTGGCCTTACTCAACAAAATGTTCTTCAGTGGTAAAAAAATTCAAAAATTCTCCACTTAGGCAAGGAAAAAAAAACCAGATGTGTAGGTACAAGATCCCTGGTAGTGCAATGAAATATTGCAGGTAATTCTGCCCACAGCCAGGAGTTTGAACCTGATGGGCTCAAAGTTGGTTCAGTCTTCCATCCTTCCAGGGTCAGTAAAATGACAAGCCAGATTGTTGGGTGCAATATGCTGATGTTGTGAATGCTGTAAAGCACAATGGAATGGTAGAAAAGTTTAAGTGCTATTGCACTTTCCAACCATTGCACTTCTACTTTCCTTTCTAGAATCTATGCAACTTCTTCAATATTCTTAGAATTTCTTCTGTAAAAAGATAGCTGATCACATCCCAGAACTAAATCTGGTACCTGTCTCAGGTTTTCAAACCTTTCTACTAACCACATTGAACATATCCATTTTAATGGCTATTTCAATATGCCTTTGGTTGTTAATTAAAATGTTTTATCTTTCTCCCTAAATCCATCTTTGCCATGGCTCATTCACAAAATTAGATACCTGTTTAAGTTCCTCAGGTCACTTTCCTGAGATATCCCATGCAATATTAAGGCTGCAATATTAAATTTACACTTCTCAGTATCCAAAGTGACTCTGGAAGCTTACGATACAGTAAAAATATAAAAACAACTGCTAGTCAACCTGGCATTTCTAGACATGTTACACTACGATTTCTGGAATTCTCAGCCAACATGAGCAGAGGTTCCAATACATTTTGAGACCAATATACAATATATTCAATAACATGTTGAGAGTGATAGTTCAATACATCTGGAAAGCATCAGATTAGGGAAAGTTGAGTTAAATGAGAGATATATGCAAACAGCTTATTAACAGAAAGTTTTTAAGCGCAATTTTCAAGACAGAATAGGAGGAACTGTCAAGAAAAGAAAGGGAAGCATCAAGAACAAGGTTTACATGATCAACCTGGCTATGTCAGCAGAAATACAAAAACTTGGTAGCCAGGCTGAAAAAGCAAGGGTCTTGAGGAATAATGATCTGGCCTCTTCTTTAACCTTGTACATCCACACATTTATACAATATAGATTGCAGCATGCATGAAAGGCCAGAATCAGGAAATTTGTTCTCAGAGAATGATGTGATCGTGGCATCTGGATATTCACCTTTAACAAGGACATATAGGAAGAAAGTGTCAGAGGGAAGAAAACAGTTGTGCCCCAGTCAATGATGTAGCTACTGCATTATCTTTTAAACTGTGCCACTACATTGTCCAGCCATCCACTGCCAAGAGAATGCAGCCAGGTACCTCTACCTTAAGGTTATGCAATTATCATTATCCTGAAGACCTTACCCAGCATTTGGTTCTGGGTTTGCTCAAAAATATACATGGTGCCAGGATATATAAATGGGTAGGGCAGTCAAAAGCTAGCAATTTACAGAAAAAAAATTAAAAAATGAAATTAACTTTATTCAGTAAAGATTATTTCTCATACATTAAATGACACTTGAAATATTACAATTCAACAGCAACTTCTGGAGGGGACAAGGGACCAGAACATGGGCTTTAGGAGACAACATATATCCTTGCACCTCAGCTTGTACATCTCTGCTTTACGTGAGGCTGAAGCCAAGAAGGCTTCAAAATGCCTCTGCAATAGGTTTCTGTGTATTCTCATAAGTTTTTTTAAAAAATCCTGAAACTGGGCAGCATGAGTCCAAGCATTCAAAATCCCCTTGTGGCACAAGTTTCAGTAATGAGACTAAGGAAATACAAAGAAATGGACTAGAGGTGACATGATAGCAGTGCTCCAATGTCTAAGAGGGGCTGCCACAAAGAAGAGGGAGTCAAGCTATTCTCCAAAGCACCTGAAGGCAGGACAAGAAGCAACGGATGGAAACTAATCCAAGAGAAATCCAACCTAAAACTAGGGAGAAATTTCCTGAAAGTTAGAACAATTAATCAGTGGAATGACTTGCTTCCAGAAGTTGAGGGTGCTCCAAAACTGGAAGTTTAAAAACATGAGATTGGACTATCATTTCTCTGAAATGGTATAGGGTTTCTTGCTTGAGCAGGGGGGTTGGACTAGAAGACCTCCAAGATCCCTTCCAACTCTGGTATTCTGTTATTCTTAAATATTTGAATTAAATTTGGTGGACATATTCTCCTATGTGGCCATCCCAGCTTAACCTTGGCTATAACCTTGGTTGTTGTCACTATTCTAAATCACATCAGATCTTCAATATCTCTTTCTTTTGAGGTTATCACTGATAAATGCAAGAAACTGCTGGCATGAATTTACCTAATCTTTAAGAATCCATACAGTCCAGCAGAAACAGAGAGAAGAGGACTGACGCTCAAATCACACTTGAGCCCTCCAGATGGATTTGAATTTGGCCTCTGTACCCAGTGCATTAAAGCAGGAAGGTTGTCAAGGGGACTAACATAATGCCAAAATGAGAAAGAACTATTCAGAAGATACCTTAAGACCCAAGTTGAACAGATCTACTATAGAACTCAGCAGGCAAGGAAGGATTTTCCTGAAACCCCAGTCCATCTTCTCCAAAGCATCTTACTGCCTACTTTGAATGAGAAGGATGGACTAATTCTCAGTTTAGTGCATTTATTTTGCAGCCTTGCCTTCCCCAAAGGAAAAATGGATCACCTTAAAAGCTTGCTAAGGCAGTGCTTTCTCTGGGTGTGTGTACAATGGGGGGGGGCGAAACCTAGACAAACCGCCATAACGTAAACCAGGAAGGAATTTTTTTCAAAGGTTCCATTAAGTGTTTAAACAAGAAATCTCAAGGTAAGCACATGGCTCTCTTTGCAAGATCTCAGGATAGAAGTGCCCTGAAATAGGTTGGAAGGAGAGCTCTGAAACTTGGTGCGAAGTTGGCAAATTGTGCTTGGAACAACAATCGCCGATCCGTCCGATCACCCAATCACCGTTTTAGAAATCAACAGAAGTGCAAGGAAGGAGGAAAGGCTAGCCACTGACGCCGCCAGTTCCTCATCCCGGTGCTTTTCAAAGCAGATTCGCATCATCAACCGGAAAGGAAAAAAAAAAAAAAAGTAACCCAAACTACAATGTTGTTGTAAGACAATAAGAGACAGAATAAGCCATTCTTACCTTGGCTTCACATTTCTTGTGACAGGACAGCTTGCAACCTGTGCAGAAACAGAAACGAGGGCAGCAGGGTTGAGGAAAGGAAAGGGAGGGAGGGAGGGTATGAAAAAAGAGGGAAATTAAAATCAAAAATCTTGCCTTTCCAAACCAAAACATGCAAGAACTGGGAAGAAAAGGGGCCTCACCCAGGAAAAAAAAAACGGAAGCCGGAGGTGGGGGTGAGGGGAGAGCAACCGATGAGCAAATCCTCCCCACACTTCCAATTTTTCTTTCAAGCCACCAACATCAAGAAGCGCAACACAATCACCAACAATAACAAGTCCTTAAAACTATGTTACCAAAGGAGCTGCTTCCAGGTTTTTGTGTGGGTTTTTTTTTTTAAGGACTCTCGCAAGAAGGGTGGGGGGGAAGAGCTACATACCGTGTTATGCAGGAGGGAAGGAGGGAAGGCAGAAAGAAGGAGGGGGGGAATTATCCTCTCGGCACGCTGGCACCTAGCCAACGATAGCCCAAGCTGCACAGGTACAGCCACAGCAGCCAGCCCGCTCCGACAACTCCAATCTTGCAGATAATACTAAGCACATTGTTTGAGAGCTGCCTGCCAGCCCACTGCGCTGTCAGAGGCTGCCCTGAGGCTCTGCATTTTTCCCTCTTTACACTCCCCACTTTCGTGACTAAACTTTACACACACGCACACACGCACACGCAGACACACACACACAGAGAGAGAGATACACATACACCAGTAGGCTGAACCCTCCCTCTTTTGGGGAGTCAGGTTTCTAAGTCATTAACTCCAGAAAGAATGTTGGAAATGTACAGGCACTGCTCCCCTCCTTGGGAGGCAGCATCACTTTTCGATTGTATAGATTTGGAACCCGACCAGAAAAAGAAAGAGAGAGAGGGGGGGGGATTGTTCTTTGCCTTCTCAAACTCTAGGTTAGAAAACAAAAAGAGATGACTTACTCAGCCCAATAGTCTCGTCTAGCTTTGCTTCCCTGGAACTATTGTGTAAACTGGGCAACCAGAAAACCCAGTTGCAATTTATATTTTAAGACAAAAGTTATTTCCGTTGTTTTTTTTTAATAAAAAAAAAAGGAGCGGTGATCTAATCTGTATTCTCTCAAAAAACCCTTATAGATGATTGCTGCTCCTATATAGTAGTAAATGAACTTTGAACAAGGAAATAGGTCTGGGCCAAACAAGCCACAAACAAATTCAAGTTCTGGAATCCCAATTTATCTCTTAAATCTTCCATAACCCCAGACTGGGAATTCTAGTAACACAGGAAATTCACAGATTTTTTTTTTTCCCCCCCTTCCCCAGCCAGCCCCAATGCTCAGAGAAAGCTCTGGGCGTCACAGTTCTCCCACATTCCTCCTGAATGGGAATTGATCTATTGACTTAGTGACAGAATTACAATCCTCAATGGTAGAAAACTCCAAGGGCTCAATTAATAGTATGGCTTCAAGTCACTTTAACTTCAGCTAAATTAGGTACCCTAATTTACTGGAGGGTGGAGGGAATCTCTATTTCATTACTTCAGAAAGTCCTACTTAAATAAACAAATATTATTTGTCCTAATCTTTCAAGGTGACGGTCAGACAAAAATAGTGAAAATATTAGGAACATGCGAGGAATCTCCCTAACAATAATACATAGCATGACAATGCATGGGCACACACGCATGGCACACACACACACACACACACACACACCATTGTTTGGATTTATGCACATCAGATATGCATTTGTTAAAATCTGCCTTCAGGCAAAGTCAACAGAAGGCCTGAACTGGGGGAATTGCATGCAAAGTCCACAGGAAGAATGCCCTTCCCCCAAAACCAGGCAGATACACCTTCCATGGGTAGACTTTCTGCCCGGTTTTCAGAGATCTCCTTACCCCACAGGCTGCCTCACTTCATCTACACCTTTAAGGTGGGACCAGAAACCTTAGGAAAGGCTTTTCAGGAACTCTTGGAAGCTACAGGAATTCCACATATTTCTTTCTACCAATGCAAAGCTGGATGCTATCCCAGTTTGAAGGCGCTGAGCCAAAAGTTCAAATAAACAAGTTAAACGTTAAAGAACTAAGTACAGTTTGGCCAATCCCTGTTAAAGAGAAAACAAGTTTTGTATTGCAAGCCTCCCTGCCATCCACATGCAACATCAACACTGTCAGTTCCTCCTTACCCCTCCCCCCCAACTGGTCTGTACTTGGGGAAGATCAGCAGTGAGTGAAATACAATAGGGTTTTGTCTCATCAAACTTCCATTATGGATTCAGCAGGGCAAACAAGCTTTTCCCATCATTTCAATCATGAAACTAGGGCATGATTATTAATAACCAATATTTCCTATTTCTGTGTATTCCCTTTAACCCAGGGGTCCCCAACCCCCAAACCATGGCCCACTATCTGGCCTTGAGTGGTTCAGAACCAGCTACAGAAGTGACAGGCAAGCACACGTGTGCACCCCCACTTGCATGAAGAGCAGGTCAGCACATGTGCACACACGCTTGCCCAGCACTTGAACAGAATCATCTACTCCCTTCCCCCACAAAGCCATAAAGGTTGGGGAACTCTGCTTTAACCAAACACTGCTCAAAAACTGAAAGCTGAAACTGAGTACATTTTGTAGAAACCGAGCACAGCTACACAACTAATAAAGGTAGCCCTTGATTCACAACCACAATTGGGATTGACATGTCTGTCGCTAAGTAAGGTAGTTGTTTAGTGAGTTGTGCTCAGTTTTATGACTTTTTTCATTGTGGCAGTTGCCAGAGTGAATCAGGCGATTATTAAGCAAATCCAGCTTCCTCATTGATTTCACTTGTCGGAAAATGGCTGGGAAGATTGCAAAGGGCAATCACGTGACCCCAGGACCCGGCGACGTCATGAATAGATGCTAGTTACCAAACACTCGAATTTTGATCATGTGAGTGTTGGGATGCTGCCAAAGTTGTAAGTGGGAGGACCGTTCGTAAGTGACTTTTTTCAGCGTGGTTATAATTTTGAACAGTCGCTAAAGGAATAGTTGTAAGCAATGTCAACATTTCAAATTATTCTTTTTCTTCATAGCACTAAGTAAACACATTTGTGGCCAACTTGCATTGTGCTTCTATTTTATCTATCTCTCTCCAACATCTGTAAAATAGGAGACAGGATGACACAGCGACATCCCTGGAAGGGATGTTGCCAGGGTTTTATTTATTACCCTTTTTGTAGGAGAAAAGGAGTTTATAAACTACGGCATAGCACTGTGAAGTGGTATATAAATCTATATACTATTAACTCTACCAGCATCTTCACAAACCTATTTTATTGCTTCCTTTAAAAAAAAATTGTACTGCCAAAAACTGTTGCCTTGCCATCAAATTTTGATAACACAATCTAGGACAGGGGTCCCCAACCCCCGGTTTATGCACCAGTACCGGGCCGTGGCATGCCAGCAACCAGTCCGCACAAACAAGAAAAGGCTCATTTGCAGGATGCAGGCAGCACATAAAACCATGCACTCTCCGGTCCGTGGAAAAACCTTTCTCCACGGAACTGGTCTCTGGTGCCCAAAAGGTTGGGGATCTCTGATCTAGGATGAGTCTGAGAGATATAAATTGATAGATTGTTCTCTTCAATCTTGTAGATGCCACTGTATCTCAACCACGTAGAAAAGTTAAAAGGATATTTTCATCTGTGTTTTACGTGACAAACATTCTTTTAGTTTAAAAAGGTTGATAGAGGTCTGCAATATGTAGCTAAATATCCATTACTGTGATTTTGAGAAACCTCCAATAATTGCGGAGAGATCTGATTTTTCCTTCAATGTCCTTTTTTAGCTAACACTAAATATCAGATATTTCCTATTTGATGCCAAATGTCATTGTATTTGGTCTCACTGACAATTTTTTACTTCTCTATGAATTAAATAACCTATTAAATAATTAAATAACCACAGAGTTGATTCTTATCCTGCCTTCAGGTGCTTTGGAGAATAGCTTGATTCCCTCTTCTTTGTGGCAGCCCCTGAGATATTGGAACACTGCTATCATGTCCCCCCTCATCCTTCACTTCATTAAACTAGACCAGCGGTTCCCAACCTTGGGTCGCGACCCTTTTGGGGGTCAAACAACCCTTTCACAGGGGTCACCTAAGACCATCGGAAAACACATATTTCCGATGGTCTTAGGAGCCTGTCTCGCTTTCAACTCTCCCTAAAATTCTTCATTCAAGCAGGCTTCCGGAGTTTGGCCGGCAGGATGCAGGTAACCCTTCCCCCCTGTCCTGCCGCCTCCCACGGCACTGTGCCGCTCTGCGTCCTCAAGCCTCCGTGGCACAGAACCGCTGGTGTGGTCCCCAATGGCCCCTGATGCGCTCCCCGCTGCCGGTGACCATGCAAGCCCTGGCAATTGCTCCAGCCAAAGAAGCAGGTGGTGGGAGGCTGCCGCGGCACCGATTTTCTGTGCCCGTCAGCTGGTGACCCCCTGAATGTGCGCTTGTCAGCTGGGAGGTCTGGTGACAGAGCCGGCTGACGTGGAGAAGGAATCTCTCCCGCCCGTGTCCCTTCCTCCCCTCAAGCAACAACAGGAGGTTGCAGACAACTAAGTCAGCCAGTGTAGGAAGCCTTGGAATGGCCAGTCCAGGGCGCCTGGTTGCAGTGCTGGATGCCTTTTGCTCCTCCTAGAAGCCGGTGGCAAGAGAAAGAAGTCGTTCAAACTTCAGGCTAGCTACTGGATGCCTATTTGCACTTTTTTTTCCTTTTTTTTTTTTTTTTTTTTGAGTACTTGTCTACCAACCCATCCCATCTGTAAAAGAAAAAGTCTTCCACCCAAGCATAACTTTTAAGGATTTTAAGGATTTTTGAGAGGAAGAGAGGGAGAGAGAAATAGAGAGAGGGAGAGAAAGAGGGAAAGAGAAATAGAAAGAGGGAGAGAAAGAGAGTGACAGGGAGAGAGAAAGAGAAAGAGGGAGAAAGAGAAAGAGGAAGAAAGGGAGAGAGGGAGAGAAAGAGAGGGAGAGAGAGAAAGAAAGGGAGAGAGGGAGGGA